TGTGTGTGTTGTTATTGTGTCCAGCAAACTTTACTTTAATTCTACTTTTTTCTATTTAATCATAAAAAAAATCATAGTCAGGCAGAAAGAGAGTCATGGAACAGGAAGAGCAGGTTTCCTGAAGAAAGAGGAAGAAAGCTTCCAGCCTGCAGTGAATAAAAATAGTTCAGATTGCTCATTTTGAGCATTGGAGGTTTAAAGAATAAAATCTAAACATTTTGAGTAATTGGATAAAACCCAGAGTAAAATACTTAAATTAATAACAATAACTTAGAAATAAGCCAATAATTAATATTGGTTTACCAGTGGTTAATGTTGGTTTGATTATAAGAATATTTACACTTATTCTTGTACTTGTGGAAGTACTTACAGGTGAAACAAGTAACTGTAACATGGTGTCAAATAATTGGAATAATGGATTATTCTTGGTTTCTTTTCAGAAATGTCTGTAATAACTCACATTATGATTATAATAAGAGTAACTAATAAGTAATGGTTATTATATTATAAATGAATGCTAAATCAGAGAAACTAAAAGGTTNAAAGGTCACTGATGTGTTGGAGGTAGATGGTAGGTGAAAAGTCAGGGGGAAAGAGGAACTGATAGGAGAGCGGAGGTGACCAAGGCCTTATTGCTGAACTTCAACTTTCCTAAGAAAAGGTTAGACACAAGAGGACTGTTGAGCAACCCTGGGTCATTAGAACAGACATCAGGTCTCAAAGATGGTGATGGATATGAGATTATCGGTCCAAGCAGTCAGCCAATGAGACAGGCACAGCAACAAAGCTAGCCAATGCAAATGCACTAAAAGGGTGGATAAACCCTTTATAAGGTGAGTGCAAAAGAGGAGTCTTTGGTTGGATCCTTCAGGCAGCTTCGAGCCAAGATCGAGATGGACAAAGAACTCTGCAGCTGAAGAAGAGCCGGAGCCACAGAGCCGAAGACTGTTCTGCATATGGGGACCAACCCGTTAGCCCCGCAACATGTGGCTTCAAATTGCATTTCTCTCATCAGCTGGGTTCGAGACCCCAAAGAAAAAGACCAAGGCAAAGATGAAGATAAAGACAAAGGCAAAGAACAAAGGCAAAGAGGAAGAACTGGTGTGTTCCTTCCATGAGACTAGCTGATCTACATCTCCAAGGACCAGAAAGATCGTGAGACGAAGAGAAAGGGGCTACAGAGCTGCAAGAT